GGGAAAGCGGCATGAAGAAAGGCTCGGAAGGGTATTGCTGCTCAATGACATCAGGCGTTCTGAGAGAAGAGTGCATTGTGTTTTGAAAGTCTTTATAAGTCTGTGTGGATGAAACCACAGTAAACAAGACTCTAACACATGGCAGCAGGCGTTCTGAGAAACAGGATGGAGACACCTGCACACTTCTGGGTCAGCTCTTCCCCCAGGACCAGACTGATGGACATCGTTTAGGAGAGTGCTCTGCCTGGCCACGCATCAGCTGGAGAAGCTCAAAGGCAGAACCACAAGTCTGGTCTCTGCCCTGGGCGCTGCTTGTTTGAGTGGCCTGGGGTGGGAGATAGGTACCTGTCTTTCTTTTGAGAAATGACTCATTTGTTTTACTGTAACTTGTGTGTATGAATGCTTCACTTTTGTGTATGCACATGCATCCTACGGGTCCAGAGAGCTGATCAATGTCGAACAGACAAGGGAATCAGGTATGAGAAAGCCACTTTAAAACTCTGAACTTGGAAATTATTTCTCCTCCTATTCCTGTTTTAGCTATCTATGCAAACATAGGTTCAGAACACATAACTGTGGACCACACACCTCACGTCTACTTCATGGTGACATCAAAGACACCTTGGTTTCTGTGAGTACCCTCTAAGAAGTTCCCATTACACCCAATCCGCTGATAATGCAAGTCTCAGAATGTATCCCCATCTTAAGGGTGCAGCTGGGCTGTCCAGCCCTAATCTCGCTTTCCAGGAGGAAAACCCAGGCCCAGGGTATCTGTAGCTCTTGATGAGGGAGGCCTTCAGGCTGTCATCATCTTTCTATGTCCTGACATAATAACATCTTTTCTAAGTTTGTGAAAACACATTCACTCTACACCTTCCATTTCTGGCCTCCCAAGCTCCTATCCATTCTACTTTAAAAAACAAAAACATTTATTCTATCTCAGTAGCCTTGAAAGTTTGAATTCTTTCTGAAATTAACTCTAAAGTTAACTTTGAAGTCTTACTCAAATGTTGCCTAAGGAAGATGTGGGTGAACTGCCAGGGATGTTCATCCTGAGGCAAGGTCCTTTGTGGCTGTGCTCTGGGAGCTGCAGACGGGACATATTCCAAAATACAGTGACGTGAACACCACTGCACAGGGCGGAGATTGTCACTCCATTGGGAAGAGACCAAAGGGAGGACAGGGCGATGGATTCTGAGCTGAGACTAGGGAGTTTCTTTGGTTGGATGCTCGCCTTCAGACAAGCTAAGGTGATCTCCGATGTCCTCCCAGGTGGCCTGTGTCCACCGCTGACATTGAAACAAGGTCCCCTCCTCCCTCCTTTGCACCAAGGCAGTCCCGGCTTAAGTCCTGCTTTCTTTCCTGTTTGGAAGAGCGTGTCTATGGCTGCATATAACTCCATAGTCAGTGGAGCAGGACTTAGACACCCACATTCATTTTTTCATTTCGTCCTGTCCCCTTCAGTACAGATGGGCAGTGTTTCTGTTGGGGTGAATGATTGGTGCATGGGTCCACACACACCCTTATCAAGGCCGTTCACACACATGATTATCAAGGCTGTTCATACACACACTTACTAATGCCGTTCACCACACCCTTGCCACTTTCTTCCTGATATTCCTTTATTATCACCATTGCTAATTTTTTTTACAACATTGTCAGGTTATGGGCACATCTTTAAGATCTGATTTCCTTTTTTTGTTGTTTGTTTTTGGTATGGTCTCATATGTAGTCCTAGTTGGTCTAGAGCGCATGATGTAGACTGTGCTGACCTTGAACTTCTGAGTGCTGGAATCGAAGGTATGCACCACCACACCCTGCTCAATTCATCACCCTCTCCCTTGTATTTGCTATAAGTAGCCAGGAAGAACCAAGCCCCTTCTTGAACATTTGCTTAGAAATCTCCTCAGCCAAATAACCATCGGCAGCACTAGGAGCTCCTACCTCCCACAAAACACTAAAACACAAACACAACTCGGTCTGGGTCTTTACTACTTTACACGAATTCTCTCTCCATTGTCCAACAACACTCCTCATTTCTCCGTGCGACCCCCACTGATGTGGACAGCATAGTGACCATTGCTGTCTGACAGTTCCAGTTTCAACATTGCAGAGCATACTTTCCCAGCCCCCTTTTACCTCCGCGTTTAAAGATTATCAGTGCCTTCCCCTCTGGGAAATTTCGTGTGGGCTTTGGTAAAAGGATAAAAATGTGTTCAGTGGTAGCCTCGCTAAACAAAATAATTATTTGGAACACCCTCCCCACCCCCCATCAGCAGAAATTCCATGTGCTCTTCTAATCACACCAAGAACAGGAAGGTTAGAGATTTACCAGAAACACTGATTCCAAGAAGGAAATGTCTGCAGCTCAGAGCCTGGGGCCATTAAGGGCAAGAGTTTGGTTAATAAATACAGAGAAATCAGAGAGGTACAGTATAATGGGGAAAAAACAACTAAGACATCAAGACCTTCCTTTTTAGGAGCCCCAAGAGCAATCATTCTTCTTTATCTCCAGCAAGAGAAACTCGTGCCCCCCCCCCCACCCTCCATTAACACAGAGGCACTATCATCAAGGTCAATGCCAGATTCCTCAACTGCTGACCTCAAGCCACGCCCCAGCTCACAGGCCCTTGTCTCCCATTGAATCCAACTGCAACTATACAGTGTAAAAGGTGTCATCTTTTCTCAGTTAAAGGCTGCTATGGTGGAAGCCAACCTGACTCACCCTCAGATCGGACCAGTCTCCATCCCCCTCCCCACTCCACACATCCTCTTTGGAACCTGAACCCCCCCCCCCCCACACACACACAGAGCAGGTGTCCGGCACCTCACCATAATCTCCCTTCCAACCCATAGTGCCCTCCCTCCTCAAAACTTCTCCAGCCTCCTCCCAGTACCTGGCTCGGCAGCTTTAGACGCTTGTGGCACAGCTTCACACTTACAACAGTCTCTCTGGCTGCTGTAAGAGTCTATGGCCCGAATAAACGGAGGCAATTATTTCCCTCCTCTCACTTTCGGAGTGTGGGAAGTGCAGCATCGAGGATATTTAATACAGACATATTTTATCTGAAAGCTAGTTCACACTTATGCATTTGTGGGCATATTACTCATGCGGGTGCGGGTGCATGTGTGCCTTGGAGTGTGTGGCCGTCACAGGACAACCTTCGAGAGCAGGTTCTCCTTTGTGGGTCCCAGGGCCAAACTCAGGATGCCAAGACTGTCTTATTAAATTGCTTCCTGTGTTCTCACCAGAAGAGAGAGTTCTGATCTCTCTTTGATAAAAATGCTAATCTCCCCACAGAGGTTCCAACCTCACACCAAGAGCCCATGGTCCAAATAACATCACATCAGGGGTTTTGTCCCTAGCAACACCTTTTACAGAGGAAAGGCTTCCAAACACAGGCAATCTGTGTGTTTGGGGGCAAGTTTTATCACAGGCTTTGGGAACGAGGCTTCATCCCCTCTCATTTCTTTTTTTAAATTTTTGCTTTTTTGAGCAATGCTAGGTGCCATCGAGCTGCAATCCTAACCCTGCACTGAAGGATCCAGGGCGCTGGTGAGAAGCCACCAGGGTTGGCCCCCAGCACAGCCGCCCCCCCCCCCCCAGGCAGGCAGGTACACATTCCCTCATTTGAAAGGAGCCGCTCCTGGCTAGGACGGGCAGACACTAGGGACTGACCAGAGTGGACAGTGCCTGCCCTCCCCACGCTTCCAGCTGTGTAGGACACAGTCTCCAGCTGATGCAGCTGTCACCTGTTTGCTCTTCAGGCTTGCGTATCTGGGACATCCTCTGCCATATTGTCACGGTGGCTCTTATCCAACAGCTAGGGCAGGGTAAGAGTGGTCTCTTGCGCACAGAGAGCTCTGGTTTCCTAAACTCGAGTTCTAAGTGTTCCAGGAAGGCAGCATCCTCCTCCCCCAAAAGCCTACTTCAAAGGAAAAAGCATTGGCCACAGTGTCCCCTGTATCTACCGCGGCCTGCTTGCTTGCTGCAGGGAGAAGGCGGCGTCGGGACATGGCCCCCTGAACGTCACAGACATATAAAAAGAATGGCTCCCGGAAACGTGCGCTTGACGCTTGGAAAATAATGGGAAAGGTCCTTGCTAAGATTCCCACCTGCTGGACTAAAAACGGGCTAAGTCCTGCTCCCCAGCCTTGGAGCAGCAGCCCAAGACAAGGCTAGAGGCTGAGTGTGAGCCTTCATTCACTACACACTAGGTAGGTACCCCTCCGGACCTCAGTTTCAGCACGCATAGAACACAGAGAAGAGCGGCCCTTATTTTATAAGGTTTTTCTGAGGACTAAACCGTTATGAGGCTTGTAGATCCCCAGGATCTGTGAACAAAAGGGGTCCCTACTCGCCCTCTCAACTCCAGCTGCCCCGCTCCGGCCCTCTGCAAACCTCTGTAGACTGGTCTGTAAGATGGGAATAATGATAGTCCTTGAAGAAAGTAAAACTGCACTGTAATAGGTCACGTCTGTAGATGATGATGGGCGCGTGTTACATTCCAGCTGACCAGCCCAGGGCTCACAGCGCAGCACAGGCTCACCGGCCCCTTCCCTGATCTCAGCCTCCACTGAACTGCGGGACCCTTTTCCTGAGGCCCAGGCTATCTGGAAGTCTAGCATATTAAGAGGTCCATAGACTGGAAAACCCACAGAGGGTTTCTACCACCAGGGGCTGATGGTGAGCGACCTGGGGGTTTGCAGTCTGGTTATTTCCAGGAAGAAAACAGAAATTTCTGCCCAGGAGGCCAGAGCCCAGAAGCAAGCCAGTTATCTCCAGGCCGGCTTCCTGCCCCGATAAAGGCAGCGACAGCGGCCCAGGGCACCAAGGCCTGGCCTATGACTCTGCAGCCGCGCCCCGCAAGCCTGGAGGCGCTGAAGTGACCCTAGCTCACATCGCCTCGCCCTCCCGGCCCGCACCCAGGGATCGCCCCTTCCAGGGTTCCCACCGCCAGGTCGCTCCCACCTGCGAGGTGTCCCAGGCAGGTACTTACTCTGCAGACAGCGGGCGGCGGCCACCCAGAGCGCGAGCAGCCCCAGCGGGATGCCGCAGGTCCTCCTCCCGCACCTCATGAACGGGCAGCGGGCTGAACTGGCCCCGCAGGGGCCTAGGGGAGGCGGCGGGGCGGACTGCTCGCCCTCGGCGCCCCGCAGAGCGCCAGCCTGGCCTCCCTGGTCTCAGCTCTGCAGCTCTGCACGTCCCACCCAGCCCCTGCAGCTGTCCCAGCGCCAGAGGTAGATGAGCAGGTTGCACTCTGGTTGAACCAGTTCCCAGGAGAAAGAGAAGAAATGAGGAAGGGCAAGGCAGAGAGGAGTGAAGGGAGGAAGGACCAGGAGTATGGAGTACAGAAAGGTACGGGAATGGGAAGGCACGCACTCGGAAGCACTAATGGCAGATAATGAGCAACTTCCCGAGAGCCACACCCACTGTATCAATGCAGGGTTCAGTGCAGGGAGGAGGCTAGGAGAGAGGGCTAGTGCTAACTGTTTCCCCAGGACCCGAAGACACGGTGTGAAGGCTGCATGGGCAAGTGGGAGACTTTCAGGAAAGCCAAGCCTGGGGTGTGAGGAGTAAGGGGTGACAGACAGGAGACTCGGGCTGGTTCTGTGTGGAGTCTATGGACAGCAGTTAAACAGTAATGCCATCCACCCACCCATCCACCCACCCACCCATCCACCCACCCACCCATCCACCCACCCACCCATCCACCCACCCACCCATCCACCCACCCACCCATCCATCCACCCACCCATCCATCCACCCACCCACCCATCCACCTACCCATTCACCCATCCACCCATCCACCCACCCACCCATCCACCCACCCATTCACCCACCCACCCACCCATCCACCCACCCACCCACCCATTCACCCATCCACCCACCCATCCATCCATCCACCCACCCACCCATCCACCCACCCATTCACCCATCCATCCACCCACCCACCCACCCATCCATCCACCCATCCACCCACCCACCCATCCATCCACCCACCAATCCACCCACCCACCCATCCACCTACCCATTCACCCATCCATCCACCCACCCACCCATCCACCCACCCACCCACCCATCCACCCATCCATCCACCCACCCATTCACCCACCCACCCACTCATCCACCCACCCACCCATCCACCCACCCATTCACCCACCCACCCATCCACCCACCCACCCACCCATCCACCCATCCACCCACCCATTCACCCACCTACCCACCCATCCACCCACCCACCCATCCACCCACCCACCCATCCACCCACCCACCCATCCACCCACCCACCCACCAATCCACCCACCCACCCATCCACCTACCCATTCACCCATCCATCCATCCACCCACCCACCCACCCGCCCATCCATTCATCCACCCACCCATCCATCCACCTACGCATTCACCCATCCATCCATCCACCCACCCATTCACCCACCCACCCACCCACTCATCCACCCACCCATTCACCCACCCACCCACCCATCCACCCCACCCACCCATCCATCCACCCACTCATCCACCCACCCACCCATCCACCCACCCACCCATCCATCCACCCACCCATCCATCCATCCACCCACCCATTCACCCACCAATCCACCCACCCACCCATCCATCCATCCACCCACCCACCCACCCATCCACCCACCCACCCACCCATCCACCCACCCACCCATCCATTCATCCACCCACCCATTCACCCACCAATCCACCCACCCACTCACCCATCCACCCACCCACCCATCCATCCACCCATCCATCCACCCACCCACCCATCCATCCATCCATCCACCCACCCAGGAGAGGGCTCTGAAAGCTGCTTATTGTACAGGACCGGGCACAGGTGGGCATTTTGGTCCCTCACAGCATAGTGGTGGAACAATGCCCAGCACTGAACTACACTGCAGATACAACCACACTGACTTGGAAAGCCCTCAGAGGTGGCCCACACCTGTAGTCCCAGCATTCTGGAAGCTTTGGGAATGACTGGGTACTTGAGGAATCCTAGCAAGGCGTGGGACCTGGAAACAGTCTGCCAGTTCCCATTAAAATGAAGAACCCGGATGCTGTAGGGCTCAGAGCAGAGCAACTGTCCTCCAGGGGGGCCGTGCTGGTGTGTGAAGATACAGAAGATGGGAAACTAATGCTGATCCAAGCAAGTTGTGGCATTCTGGCGTACTTTGTCAGAACTAGATCCCTCCCCTCGCTTGCGGCCCGGGGACAACAGTATGAACACGCAGCAGTGACACTTAAAAGGGGACTGTGCTTGGTGTCTCTGGAAAAGGTTTCTACTTTCCTGGCAAAAGGGATAGAAAAGGCTGTGGGTTGAAGCGTTCTTTCCTGAAAGGAGGAGGCAGCAGATCACAAAGCACAAGAGACTTCCAAGAACCCTTGGATTGTAGAAGCAGGAGTAGTTGTCAGGGAGAGGAGACTCTTGCATGGAGCTGCAAGCAGGTTGTGCAGGGGACATCAGTGATGCAGCTGGGACCGGCTTTCCTGTAATCCGGCTGCTTGAGTCGTCCATGCTCCAGACCCTTGCTGATTGATGTAAGTGACATTAGTGAGCTCATTGCTCACCAACCCTTGCTGATTGATGTAAGTGACATTAGTGAGCTCATTGTCACCAACCAGGACTTGGACATGTTTCTTCTTCGGTCTGTGGAGGATACAAGTGGTCTCTCCAGGAACAAACACACAGCCCCTGCCTTGAAGACATTCCTTTCTCCTGGATCTGTGGCCTCTGTCATACTTCATGAAGTTTCTCTAAGTAAGGATGGAGGAACAGAAAGACAGGAAGGGCCCAGGAGCTTGTAGCGCCCTCCCGTGTCCTTGCCCTTAGGGGCTTCCTTGCTGATTCCACATCCTGTTAATGACTTTCCTCATGGCTGTGACAAGGCACTGAATGGAGAAAAGGTTGAGTTTGGCTCACAGTTCCCAGGTATAGTGCACTGTGTCCGGAGCCACCGTAGCAAGAGCCCCAGGACGGCGACGCCATACTGCCTCTGCCATCAAGACTCAGAGAGGGACAAATGCTAGAGCTCAGCTCACTTTCTCCTTCTTATTCGTCCAGGCTCCTGGGCCATAGGATGGCGCCACTCAAAGTTAAGGTGGGTTATAATATGGGAATTATGTTTTATTCTATTCGGGGAGAAGTCACTTACATGAGAACCGATGATCCACAAGTTCCCGCTCCAAGGATCCACGCCCAGGCTGCTCTCGGTGATCCCATGGAACCGAGAGAGAGAGAGAGAGAGAGAGAGAGAGAGAGAGAGAGAGGGAGGGAGGGAGGGAGGGAGGGAGGGAGGGAGGGAGGGAGGGAGGGAGGGAGGGAGGGCTGCGGTCTGGGACCCCAGAGCTGGCCTTCTCCTGTCACGTGGTCAGCGCAGGTGTGGACGGGGTGGGTCTCTCACTCCAATTCCCCTTTTAGTCTAAAGAAAGGATGTAGGCGTGATACAAAACTATCTACAAAGACAGCAAATATCAAGTGTGCTCTAGGAGAGGGAGATGTAAGAACACACACACACTTAAGACCTGTATCTACAAAGACAGCAAATGTCAAGTGTGCTCTAGGAGAGGGAGATGTAAGAACACACACACACTTAAGACCTGTATCTACAAAGACAGCAAATATCAAGTGTGCTCTAGGAGAGGGAGATGTAAGAACACACACACTTAAGACCTATCGCCAGAGAAGCAACAAGAGCAAATGGCAAGAGCTACACAGCTCACAGTACACACATCCTTTAAGACGTTAGGTTGTGCACAGTAACAACTATTTGTTAATTTAAAATAAACAAAATAAAGTGTGTGTGTGTGTGTGTGTGTGTGCGCGCCAGAAGTCAAGACCAAGATTTATGTAGTTCCTGTCTACCTTATTTTGTGTTTTGAGACAGGGGTTCTACCAGAACTAAGAGCTTACTGGTTCTGCTATATTTGGAGCCAGAAATCCTCCTGTCTCTACTTCTTCACTGCTGGGATTACTGATGTGTACTGCCACGCTCAGATTTTTTTTTTTAATGTGGGTGTTGGGGGTCTGAATCCACACCTTCCTGCTTGCATAGCAAACATTTTAACGACTGAGGGTCAGACATTTGGTAGCTGCCTGGTCCATTCTGCCTTATTCTGCCTGATCTGCTATGATGTGAACAGTGTCCTCCACACGGGCTCACTGGCGTGAATAGAGTTGTTCTGCCCTGCCTTCCCCTCTGTGACAGACTGGAGCTTTGGGAACTGGAAGCCTGATAAATCCTGGCCCACTAAGTTGTTTCTGTCAGATACTGCATCACGCTATATAACATTAATGAATATGTGTACAACTAACAATCTCATAAAGCCGGAGAGCCATTCATCTTCTATTTGGAATCTTATCAGAATTTGGATAAAGAGAGGGTCTAGAGGTGAATGCAATCGTTGACCCCTTGCCTAGCATCCGAGTTTGATCTCAAGCATGGGAAGTAAAATGTACCTAAACGCTGAAACAATTTTTAAGTTGAGAATCTCCTGACTGAAAAGGGGGTTTTCTAAATGTTTCTGTTTCTCATATCCTTTGCATTTATTTGTTAGTTCATTAACCATTTACCCAGAAGGCCCTGCAGCTGGCACCGTGGGCACTCCAAAGGTGAATGACGGCCTCATGAATCTAAGTCCCAAGGGACTCACACACTGGAGATTCAATGACCCAAATTACGAAAGGCCTTCAGGCCGTAGACCTTTTCTGTGGAGCTCAAGGTCAAAGGGAAAATTTTGTTTTGCTTGCTGCATTATCGTGGCATGTGACATGTGGTGAACACTTAATGACTGTTTGTCAAATGAATGTGTGAACCAGAAAGGCTAAAGTCTGAGAAACACACTTTAGAAGAAGTACTCTCATGAGCTTAAAAGGCTGGCAGAAAGTATACAATTCAATAATGCTCTGGATTCGTCCTCTGACGGCCACCACCCTGTCTCCCCAGTCACAGGAGAGAGATGGACCTCTGGGTTTAGACTGTGCATCCAGCAAGGCGTTAGAAAAAATGCGCCACAGTCCATGTCCTGGGAGTGGGGTTGCTCGAGTTACTTGCCTTGTTCTTAAGAC